GAGCAGAAGTGTGGAGGGGGTGTGGTCAGATACTGACTGTTTCCTTGGTGGAGCTGACAGGATTTTCTAAAGGACTAAATGTGGAGTGAGAGAGAAAGTGAGGAGTCAAGGAGGTCTCTAAGGTGTGTGTGTGTGTGTGTGTGTGTGTGTGTGTGTGTAAAATAAACTTATTTTTAGAATAGTTTCAGATTCGCAGAAAAATTGAAAGGATAGTACAGAGTTCCCATATACCCCATACTCAGTTTGCTTCTTAGGGATAACAACTTACATCAGTATGGCACATTTGTTACAAGTAATGAGCCAACATTACTATATTTTATTAACCAAAGCCCATACTTGTATTCAGTTTCTTTAGATTTTACCTAACGCCTTTTTCTGTTCCAGGATCTCATTCAGGATACCACAGTGAGACTGAATACCCAGTGGGTAACGATAGACCATATATAATAACAGAACTCTGACCCACAACCTGCAGCAACCAGTCCAAGAAGCTAAACAACTAGCCCTATAGCAATTGGCCCCACATAGCCAGAAGCTAATAACAGACAGCTTCCCTAATTTTTGCCCCAGCTTCCAACTTAGGACCAACTAAAGAAAGCCATTTAAGTCCCACGTACTTAGGAAGCACTTGAGTGGTTGACAAATTTCTGTTAAATGAATGAATGCTCTCCTAACCCTGGTCCTGTTTGGCCCACCTACAGCTTCCCCATGAGAAAGGCCTCCCATCAGAAGCTTCTCTTTTTCCCCCTGTAAAGCTTTTCCACTCCTCTGAGTCTTTGCCTTTGAGTTTGCACCAAATGCAAGTGATGGTGGCTACTCCCCTGCTATAGCAAGTTCAAAACAAACAGTTTTTTCTTGCTCTAATTTGGGTATTCATTGTTTCTTTGCACAGCACATTACAATGAGCTATCATTGTCTCCTTAGACTCCTCTTAGCTATGACAGTTTCTCAGGCTTCTCTTGTTTTTGATGACCATGACAATTTTGAGGAATACTAGTTAGATATACTGTAGAATATCTCTCTATTCTCGTGATTACACTGGGATTATGGTTTTGAAGGAGGAAGACCGCTGAGAAAAAGTATCATTTTCATTACTTAATATCAAAAGTATATTCTCTCAACACGACTTATTACTTGTGGTGTTGACTTTGATCCGAGGCGTTATTTAGCAGAGCAATTAGAAAAGCACAGTTGCCATTTATCAAATATGAAGAGTACAAGAGGGGCAGGATATTTGGAGGAAACACTAAGTTTTAATTAGTCTCCTGCTTGGACACCAAAGTGAAGCTATTAAATAGTTGTAGAGTTTAGGAGCGAAGTTACAGCTGTACATATAGAGATGGAAATCATTAGCATACAGATGTTGTTTAAGGCTGTGTACTGGTGAAGACCACTGGGAGCTTGAAAAGAAGTACAAGTACTACCTACTGGATCATTTCAACAGGCATTTTTACTACGAATAAGTATAGTTGTGTTTTTCCCATGTAAAATTTTTTTTTAAATCTCTTTTTACTTGTTACTTTAAATGAAAGGTTTCTATCTCACTACTTAAGTGTTTTGGCTATGTTATTTTGTAGATGTCCTTTATCAGATTAATGATTACCTCTATTGCTAGTTTAACAAGAGTTATCATGAATAAGATTTCAGTTTTATCAAAGGCTTTTAACTGCATCTACTGGCATTATCAGATTCCTTTTCTTTTTAAATTTGTTAAATCATCAGTAAATATTTCTGAGGGCTGGGCACGGTGGCTCACACCTGGAATTCCAGCACTTTGGAAAGCCGAGGTGGCTAGATCATGAGGTTAGTAGATCGAGAACATCCTAGCTAACACAGTGAAACTCCATCTCTACTAAAAATACAAAATATTAGCCAGGAGTGGTGGCATGTGCCTGTAGTCCCAGCTACTTGGGAGGCCGAGGCAGGAGAATCACATGAACCCGGGAAGCAGAGGTTGCAGTGAGCCAAGATCGTGCCACTACACTTCAACCTGGTGACAGAGCGAGATTCTGTCTAAAAAAAAAAAAAAAAAAAAAAAAAATTCTGAAGTAGGACCACCCTTCTATTCCTGGGGGGGAAACAATGCTACTTAGTAACAATGTATATCATCAACCTTCATCACCATCACCATTATCATCTATTCCTCAATTCAATTTTCTAACATTTCATCTAGAATTTTTTTTTCTTTCTTTTTTTTTACAGGCAGTGTGCCCAGAGTCAGCCTTTTCATCTACGTTGATGAGGAAGAATGTCTTTTTTCTGGTTAGGAAGCTAACCATAATGAACGCTCACCACTGGAAATTAAAATTCAGAGAAGGTAACCCTCAGACAAGAGTTACTTTATTAATTAGTGGCAGAAGCTGTGCTAGATTCCTTTTTTTTTTTTTTTTTTTTTTTTTTTTTTTTTTTTTGAGACAGAGTTTCGCTCTTGTTACCCAGGTTGGAGTGCAATGGTGCGATATCAGCTCACCACAACCTCGGCCTCCTGGGTTCAGGCAATTCTCCTGCCTCAGCCTCCTAAGTAGCTGCGATTACAGGCACGTGCCATCATGCCCAGTTAATTTTTTGTATTTTTAGTAGAGACGGGGTTTCACCATGTTGACCAGGATGGTCTCGATCTCTTGACCTCATGATCCACCTGCCTCGGCCTCCCAAAGTGCTGGGATTACAGGCGTGAGCCACAGCGCCCAACCCTAGATTCCTAATCTAATATATTTTCCACCTAAACCTGCCAATCCGCTTAGAAGCGCTTCTATGAGACAGGAAGCAGAAGGACACCAAATAGCTGTTGCCATGCAGTTGGGTTGATTGGTGAGTTACATAAATTGGACACATTCACCTCACAAGCTCTCTTGTCAAAATTTCACTTCTAAGCATCAAAGAAATGCTGAATTGCCAAAAGAAAAAGCAAATGGACCTAAGGTTTAAATATTGCTTGAAAATAAAGGTGCCTGTAGGAACAATTATGCTATGTTACCTTTTCTAAACTTATAAAATTAAAAGAGAAAAAGGTAATGTTTTGTGAATTAAAAGTCTTGAGAAACACTACTACAGATGCAAATATTTAGGAGTTATGTATTAAGTTATTGCTTGAAGTTATGCAAAATTTTAACTTTGTAAAAACACAAAATTCAAGAAAATGATTAGAATACTTTGTAATATGCTATTGCATATTAACAGTAATTCCTTGGCCAGAGAACTAATTTTAGTTGCATGGTTTCTTTTTTCAGACAGAGTCTCACTCTGTCACCCTGGCTGGAGTACGATCATGCAATCTCGGCTCACTGCAATCTCCCTCTCCTAGGTTCAAGCAATTCTCCTGCCTCAGCCTCCTGAGTAGCTGGGACTTCAGGCATACACCAGCATCGTTTCTTATTCAAAGAAAAATTTCAAAATTTCCAAAAGAAACATTTGTTCTGTCTCCTGCAAGAATATTTTTAGTGAACTCATACTTGAAGGAGAAAAAAGATGGCTATGAGGACATTTTGGAATGTATGTACTGTACATGAATCTTAATAGAAAATTCAACTCAATTCAAAACATGTTCATAGTAATCACTCATGTAAAAGTTTGAATGTAGTGGTATCCTAAACCCCGATTCATTACCATCAAGGAGCTCATAAATGCATAGAGAATGTAAGCATGTGCAGCCAATCATACTACAATGTGGAAAGGTTTTTATGGTACAAGAAAACTTTGAGCGAGTCTTTGAACGTGATGAATACCTATTAGTAGAAGGTGGAAAGGGAACAACACGCTTCAGGTAAAGGGATTGGGAGGAGCAAAGGTGCATGGCTTCAGGCTTCGGTCGGACAGATCCTCACAGTGGGTGCCTAGGAGATCCAGAGCAGGATATAGGAAAAGAAGAAGAGTCTAGAAAGCAAGGGTAAGTTGAGTGTTTAAGATTTGACCATGTGAGCAAGAAAGAGTCACAGAATGTTTTTACAAATACGTGTTTGAGAAAAATAATAAAGTTTCTTCTTCATTTTTATAATTTAAGATTGCTGTATTTCCTTGTAAGATAAACGTTTCAACAAAATTTACAGGTGTCAGTCAACTATTGTTCAAACTGGGCACACATCAATCAAATCTAGCATCATGTGTGTTTTATTTATTTGGAAGTAAATTTTAACTATCAATACAAATGCCAAGATAGTACACAAAACATCCACGGAGACTTTTGTCATCTCTTTTTGAATTGTACACAAACATTTCCTAAATAATCCAACATATAACAAAGAAATAGTACATCTTTTCCTTTCACTTTGCATATAGTGGAAAAACAAGTATATATATATATTTTACTAAGTGTAATAAGACACTAAAGCAAGTTGACAGTTTATGTCATAGGCGAGAAATGATCTAACACAAATAATCATTTTTTTTCAGCATCAGTCAGTCACTTCCATAACCAAGTGTTATTCTGATAATAAAACTTGCTGCCAATCAGAATTCTGGTATCTAGTCATACCATTACTCAACTTGTGGTACGGCTCCCCACCTTAGTTTTTTACAACTACTAACATAGAAAACTGTTGAAAAGTAGGGGCAAGCATTTGCAAAAACAACCAAAAATTCCCAGTTTATTATAAGCATGAATATATATGATGGAATTTCTTCCCAGCAATAGACATTCAAACCAAGAAATCATGAGAACTAAGTTTGCCAAGTTATTTTGCCTATGTCCAAGAAGAGATGCACATATATCCAACAGAAGAGCTGAAAATCAAACTTAGTGTTTAGTTTGGGGGTGGGAAATTCAGCCACCATTTAAAAATGACTGTCTTAAAAAAAAAATGACCACCAAAAATAGGTTCGCTAAATTTATTTTAAAAATCATAAAAACGTTTCTTAAAAAAGAGCATTACATTCTGTATACTGCTCTGAACAGACACCAGGGACATGTGGACTACTGTTACTTTTCATCCCTGTCCCATCTCCCAAATGTTATAGTGACCACAAAACAAGGTGTTTACAATAATTACATGGGGGGAATTTTTTTTTAACCATCAACAATAACAAAAAGTAAAATCCGCTCACTTTGCTGCTGTTTCAAAATTTCAGTGTTACTTGTGCATGTCCTTCCTCCCACCCCCAACCCTGTTTGTAAGGAACTAAAACATTGCATCTGATGAACAGCAAAGATTTCACTATACTTCAAATGCAGAATACCTGTGAAGCAGAGGAATGCTGGCTTTTTAAACAGAAGCAGATCAAAGAAAAAAAAAAAAAAGATACAGGACTCCTTCAGTTCTTCACTAGTCTTAGAAAAACTTTGAGAATACTTCTTCACACTGTTCTGGAGCAAATACTATGCATTCTGCACCTGGTCCTGTGTTCCTGTAATGGTAATGATCTGATCTGTGGATCCTTCTAAAGGTTCATCAATTTGGATCAAAGCTCCCGACTCATGACAAATTTGTTTAACCTGCTGACCACCTTTGCCAACAATCCAGGATCCAGCCTGCATCCAGCCAAATCTTTGGAAATAGTTACCTGTGTAGTAATAACAGGTCCACCAAGATCACCATATGAGCCACAACCCTCTGCATAGGAATAATCATATTAGGAATAATCATATGTGGAGCAACTCTGTGGTTCATAAACCATTTGCCATTCTGACGGGCTCCACGTATCTATTACAGAGTCCCAAGTTTCATCAGCACTGATACCAGCCATGCTGTCATAACAGTCTCCAGGTCTCCCTCTTCTGTCATAGGCCATTAGGTCTCCCTCTCTAGGTGGTAGTGGTGGAAGAAGAGGAAGATTCCAAGCTCTGCTACCACCCCAGCCACACCTGGTAGGAGGAAGAGGTGGTTCTCAATGAGGGCTCATATCATCATAATTTCTAGATGGAGGCATGGGACGCCCACCTCAACCAGGAGGCATTCTGTCAAAACCACCTGTTCCCCGCATCGGAAATCCCACTGGGTGTCCATGGCAGTCATCAAACATTGGGAAACCACCATAATCATAGGTTTTATCATAAAAATTTGGATCATAAAGCTGTGCATATCCTTTGATGGGAGACTCAGATATAAGATCAAGGTTGATCTTTATACACGCTACAATCCTATCTGGTTTTCCTCCAATAAGAACAACTCTGTCAGTGGAATGAGGACAGCATTCCTGGAAAAGCTTGATGGTTGGTTGAGTGTTCTCTCAAAGTTCTTTGATTTTAGCATCTTTGACCCCAATAATTCCTCCTGCTAGATCTGATGAATCAACAGCCTCAACGCACAAAGTCACTTCCTTTATAGTGTGGGTAATTTAAGCATTACACAGCATCAGATTCAAGTGGGAGCTGGCTGGTTGCAGCAGTTAATGGCAACTGCAGGCCCTCTTCCAAGGTAGAGATGATTTTCTTCAGAATTTTTCCGATTGTTTCAAAATCAGCACTGATATTCAATATGCGCTTGGGGCCACTGTTGTCTGGGACTGAAACACCGGCAGTGTAGTCTGTACGAAGAGCCTTAATATTCTTGCCTCCTTTTCCAATCACTGCCCAGCATACTTGCTCTGAAGCAGCATGCGTAATTCAAACTTCTCTTTAGTGTTTCTAGATCTTTTAAATGCTTGTTTCTCTTCCATATCTTCTGCAGGGCATTTACCAAATTTACCATTGGGTTCAGTGTTAGGGAAGGTTTCTTCTGGTTGTTCAGTTTCCATTTTTTTTTGTATTAAATGGACACACCAATCTATAGTGGGGCACAGGCCGAGTCTGCTCTTCCATAAGTAAATTAAAGTAAATTCTAGTGATGATTATGTGTGTGTGGGCAAAGGACAGGTATTGAAATTTGCACACTAAACTCGTGTAAAAATGAGTGACTTCTCAATATCTCTGTAATAGGATAACTCTTAAGTTCTATTGTCCAAATTGGAACATTTTTTAGAATAAGAAGTGGGCACTTTAAAAAAATCATGCTGGGACAACAACCCTAAAGTGGATTGTCCCAGACAAATTGAGAAGTAGGGTCCCACTATATATCACTAAATTTCCTTTAGTTGAAAGCAACAAGCAAACAAACCTTGATTTGGAAATTACAGTTCAGACTCAACCAAGTAAAAGTTCTTTTGGCTTAAAATAGTGATTATGAGATGAATATCTGGGCAATTTTAAACTCAAAGAGTAAGAGCTAACACTGAGTTAGGCCCTGTGCTGAGCACTCCATGCATATCAAGTCATTTAAGCTTCATACGAAAAAAACTACGAGGTAGGTATTAATATGACTATTTGTCCCACTTTATGAGCGAATAAATGGAGAGACTGTGTTTAAGTGAAAGGTCCACGGTTAGCTGGTGACCCAGCAGAGCCAAGATTCCAGTCCAGATTTTTTGGTGCCAGCTGATGTCCTAGTCCTTGCTACATTTGCTTCTCACACTCTAAGCTTCAGCTCACTTGCCTCCTAAATTTGAATTTCAAATGAATAAATTTTTTTTTTTAGTGCAAGTGTGTCCTATGCAACGTTTGAGATGAGGCTTCTCCTTCTTTCTGGTTGCCAAAGGAGCTTACTTATCCTTGGCATGGTTGGGCACTGAGCGTGGGTGTGGGCCTCTGATCCCTATGTCTCAGCCAGTACCCTTGGCGTTATCTGTTGAAGTGTTCTTCTGGTTGTGTAACTCAGAGCCTGCTTTCCCAGCAAAGCCCATCATCTCTCAAGGCAGAATCAGCTGTGCCTCTACTCCTGATTATGCTGCAGATGCCTCGTCTCAGCCTCCACTCTTATCCACCTGGAAATATTCATGAATATTTTTGAATGTTTGCATGTTCAGATGACTATTATGAACATTAAGGACTAGCTTAAGAATATTTAAGAATAGACCTAATAAACCTGATTCAGGCTAGAAAAAAGCCTCAACTCAAATGGGAAACAGTTTTGTTTGGCTATATTCGTGAGCAAGTAAAGCAAAATTCCACAATAGCACTTGCTCACTCATTATAGCTCACAAATGAATTCTATTATATGTTAGAGACTTCCTATAAGGAAGAATTTGATGAGTTGTTAGCAGTGATTGAAAAAAAAAAAAAGTAGTTCTTTCTGCCACAATTTTCCGTTGACTGCCTTCATTGTCTGCCACTAAGAAAAAATCTTTTGCCTTACCACCCATAAAGCAGACAGGCAGTTGAGGTACAGCCTAAGGATTCTAGGTTCTAGCTCCAGCTCTACACACCATTTTCAGAGCCTTAGTTTCCACATTTCTAATACTGGAATAATAATACCTGCCACACAAAGTTCCTTTAAAGTTTAAATGAAAATCAGTAAGTAAAACATGAATACAGTAAATGTAATTCAAGGTTAACTTCAAAGCTCATCTTATCTCATTGTCCATGTAGTGTGTTGAATAGTAACCCCCTCAAGAAAAGACATGCCCACCTGGAACTTGTGACTGTGACCTTATTTGGAAATAGGATCTTTGCAAGAGCTACAAATATCTTGAGATGACATCATTCTAGATTTAGGGTGGGCCCCAAGTGAAATGAGTATGCACTCATAAGCAAGTATTCTTATAAGAGAAAGGCAGAAAGAGATTTGGGACACAGAGACATGAGGGAGAAGGCCACGTGGAGACAGAGGTAGAGATTGGAGGTGTGCAGGCACAGGCCAAAGAACACCTGGAGCCATGAGAAGCTGGAAGGGGCAAGGAAGGATTCTCCACTTGAGCCTTTGGAGAGGTCCTGCTGATACCTCAGTTTTGGACTTCTACCCCCCAGAACTGTGAAGGAATCAATTTCTGTTGTTTTTAGCCAACTAAAACATTAGCTGCGGTAATTTGTTAAGATAATATTAGGAAACGAATACAGCTCACTCCCAACCCATCAGCAAATCATGACAGCTCCATCTTCAGAATACATCCAGACCATGTGCCACCTCCCCCTCCATTAGGGACACTCAGCCACCATCATCTCATTACCGGTCATCCTGCATTCATCCTTGCATGCCCTGTAGTCACACAGCAATCAGAGTGTGATCAGAAATTGATGTCAAATCTTGTCAGTTCTCTGCTCAAAACCCTCCACATGCTTCTCATTTCTCTCAAAATGTAACCAAAGGCTTTCTCATGACCTACAAGGCTAGACATGATCTGGCTCCACTCTCTGTCTTCTCTTCTTTACCTCTCTCATAGTCCTGCTTCCTTGCTGTTCTGGATACATGCCATGCACACTCCCTCCTTGAGTCTTTACATGCTCTTCTTTCTGTTTAGGTAAGCATAGTCCTGCTGCGTTACAGGTCTCTGCTCACATCTCACCTCTCTAGAGAAGCCTTGCCCATTCACCCTATCGGAAGTGGTCTTACTCCAACTACTGTCAATATTACCTCACTCTTTGTTGACTCCTCAAAGTGCACATCACAAACAGTACTTACTTTACTTTCTTGTTCCTACCCTCTCTCCTATTAGAAAGTTAGAAAGAATGTTCCCTGGCTATCAAGACCTTGCCTGTCATGTTCATTACTGCATTTCCAGTACCAATGCTTAGCACATTGCAGCCACTAATAAATATTTTCTGAAAGGATGGAGAAACCATACCTTATAGCTACTAAGGGTGTTGACGAGAGAGGATGAAGATGGTATCTGTCTTTAGCTCCACCCCATACAGCACTTTTTGGAGACTGACCTGTCCTGCTGCCTACACACATTCTTAGAGGATAGGAGTCACCACCAAAGAAAACCACCCATGGTAGTTGCACAGTGAGATCTGAAGTCATAATATTGCTACATAGTATTAACTTTTCAGTGAGGTATTTTAGAATGATTACAACTGTCAAGCTCAAGAGATAGATTAATGTTAAATTTATAAAAGAGTTCCCGAAAAAAAATTGAGAACAACAAAAACAAATTTTCATATGCTAATGCTAAGCAGTTTAAAAAATGTTTTCGTATGCCTGATTTTATTTGACTCTGTCACTTGTCTGGGTTAGGGATGGTGGATAGTATTATTCTCACTTTGCAGATAGAAATACGGAGACTTATGGAGATTAAGTGACCTGTACAAGGGCAGGCAATTGTGCAACTGGCATTAGTCTCAGACCCAAATCAAGACTTCTGATTTCAAGTTTCTTATTTTCTTCTATAGCACTCCATTAATTAATTTATTTAATGTACATTATTGAACACCAACTATCTCAGGTACTGTGTTAGGTGCAGCATATAATGATAAGAAAGTTGATAACCTGTCTGTTATTTTACAATCCTAAAAATGTGCAGTACATGTACTTGGAGAAAAATTCAGTACAGTAACTGCTACTCTTCTCCCCTCTCCCTCTTTCCCAATCCTTGTCTTGTGATATAATCACTGTTACCAGAAATCTTTGACTACACAGGTTAAATCCCCTGTATCTGCCGTGAGGTCCTTCCTGGAGGTGCTGACTGGACCAGCTGACCTTGACTAACTCACCTCCATCCCTTGGGCGGCTGTGGCACAAGATGAGTGAGCTACACACCTGGCAATCTTGTGTAAGGGGGTTGCGGAGTAGAAAGGAGGCCAGTCCCTTTGGAGAATGCTTCTAGAGGGTGTGGGCAGAGCCAAGTCTCGGTGGTTGAGAAAATCTTGGTACCGAATTTTAACTTGCAGCTTCCGGGCCGAGTTCACGGCCTGTGGGACAGACGGGGCGGGGCGATGCGGGAACGGGGCGGGGCGATGCAGGGGCGGGGCGGCGCGGCGCGCGGCCGACGTGGCAGCCGCAGGAGCATGCGCCGCCAGTGGCCATCTTGTAGGCGGGGACGCGTGGAGGTGCGCTCTAGTGTGTATCTTCGTTGTCTTCTCCAAGCGGTATTTCTACGACCCGACCTCCCTATCCGCGACTCCTCAGCGATCACGCAGGCACTCTCCAGGTCCGCAGGTGAGCGCCAGGTGGCTGCAACGCGCGTGTATGAGGGTGGTGGCATGGCAGGGCTTGCAGGCGCCAGAACCAGACCCCGAGGGACGCAGTCCCTGAAAGGTAGGCGGGCCGGCCGGCACCACTGGACGCCGAGGTCGTTTCTGAGCCCATAGTCGCGCGATCCGGGGGCTGCTGTGGCGGCGTGCAGGGTGCAGCAGGTAGGAGTGCGCCTCGCAAGGCGAGCAGTTTCACCTGGGGATAGCATGGTGGGTGCGGTTTGAGGGTCTCGCTCCGCGACACTTTGCTTCTGTCCAAGGACCAAGGCAGGAGCGCCCTGGCCCTCTGGCCCCACCTTCCAGTGCGCTGACCTCAGGAGAGACTGGCAGCGATCGCCCGCGGACCTTAGCCCGGCCCTCTCTGGCCTGGAGACGTGGCAGAGCCTTGGGGGAAGGCCGCGGTTTCCAGAAACAGAATTTCGTCCGCTCCAGCCCTGGAGAGGCCCAGGAGGCTAGGGAGTCATCACACCTGGCCAGGCAATGAAAGGAAAGCTATTTTCCCTGAGATTCCCCCGTCGGTGCTTAGAGCTGCTTCGGAAGGTTTTTGTGTTCTCTTGTTTCTTTGTTTGGTCTTGGGGCCTGCTTCAGGCAAATTTATAGGTTAACAAATTTCCTAGATTGGTAGAATTTATAGCCAATAGTGTTTTTGTCATTCGAAGTAGTTATTTTGAGAGACACGTACATTTCTGCGATCGTGACACATCTGGGCATTCAGTCTTTCTCCTGTGCAGCCACTGTTTAATTCAGTGAAAATTTGTAAAATTTTACTTTGGAATCACATTAGGCTCTAACTAGCGCTCAGTGTAGTAGAGGCAGTCTTGTGGCACGAGTATGTCAGCAGTAATTGCTCTTAATGCGTTAAAAGTTACCAAGCTTCACTGTTCAATGTCTTGTATCC